GCCCAGAGGCCCCGCCCTCCCCAAATCACAGTCCAGACCACGCAGTAGGAGTCACACCGGTTTATTGGGGGCTTCGCCAGGCTGGGGAGTGTTCCTTGTATAGACAGTAACTCGTGCGGGACGGGGCTGGGGACTGGGGTAGGCTGGGCGGGGGTCACTGGCAGGTGTTGTAGATCTGGACCTGCAGGTTGATATCTTGAAGTACGCTGCGCATCCTGGCCTCCAGCCCATCCAGCTGGGCCGCTTTGCCCTCCAGCGCCCGCTCGTTCTCCTCATAGGTGCCCTCCAGCTCTAAGGGGGGCAGGTCTCAGCTACAGGGTTTACTCCCACAGCCCCACATCTCTGGTGCCCACCCACCCTGATCCTCACCTTGCAGCCGCTGCAGCTTGTCCTGAGCAGCTTGCAACAAGCCTCGAGCCTCATCCCGAAGTTGCTCTGCCCGCGTCTGTGCAGCCAGCACACCTTGGGCCTTGCGCTCAGCCAGGGCTTTCACTGTCTCGTATTGGTCGCCTAGTGGACCCTGCAGCAGCTGGGAGTGTAGAGGGCAGGGTCACTGTGGTGGCCCAGTGGAGGCCCAGCCTCTACCCTCATCCCCTCTAGCTGGCTCTGCCTCAACCTACCTGCTCAGCCTCCCTGGCACGACCCTGGGCACTATTTGCTGTTTCTTCCGCACTGGAGGCTGCCAGGCTATTCCCTGCTCGTTTCAATTTCAGAGCCTCCAGGAGACCATTCAGTTGCTGAGCCCGCTCACCTGCAGAGCTCAGTGCCTGCTCTGCACCTGCCATCCTCTCCTGCACCTGCCATGGGTGGGCCAGGGTTACACAGGTCTATGAGGCATGCCCATAACCTTGCCCCACTGATGTCCCAGCAAGACCACACCTGCTGCAGGGTCTGTTCTGTGTCTTGTGTGTCAACCACTGCCCCCTGGATAGCACCTTGAGCAGCACCCTGTGCCCGCAGGGCCTCCTCCAGTGCAGCCTGTACTGTCTCTGCCTTCTGTTTCTCACCTTCAGCCCGGCTCCTGGGGAAGAAAGGGAATCAGGGCCTGCAAGTATCAGGACCAGGTGCCAAGGATGGGGGTCAGGGTTGGGGTCAGACCGTGCCCGCTGTGCATCCTGTAGTAGCTGTTCTGCCCGATGCACATCTCCCACAGTACGTGCTAGGATTGTGTCCACATCTGCCAGGCTCCGGACACGCTCTGCAATCTCGCCAGCCAGGTGCTGGATCTGCTCAGGTGATGCTGGTATGGAGAGCTCTAGCACCCGTGTGGCCACCATCTCAATGCTATCGGGATCCGCCCCCTCCTCTATAGGGACACAGTCAAGGACTTAGGGACACATTCCTCAGCATGGGTATGGGGACACAATGCTAGGGTATAGACTCATGGGATATGGGTTTGCTAATAGGCATAAGGATGTAACCACAAGGACAGGGACTGTGTATGGGGCACAGACTCAGGGTCATGGACTTGAGGACCACAAATGGGTAAGGGCTCAGGGTCCAGACATGGGGTCATGAACAGAGATCCAGTATAGGCCCTGACCCAAGTACGACTGCAGGGACACACATATGAACACAGACACAGGGGTAACAACCACATGGCCTGGGCCACATGGGAGGCTCACGGCTCAGGAAGTCCTTCACACTCTGGATAAGTTCCCGCAGTTCTTGGTTGGCCTGCTCCACCTGTCCCCTGGAAGCATTAGCCTTGTCCAGGGCCGCCTGGGCCCGCTGCTGTGCCTCGCCAGCCTGTCGACGGGTCTCTGCCACCTGGCTGAGTATGCCACCACCTTCTGCCAGTGCTCGCTGCAGTTCTGTCTGTGTGTGCCGGGCCCGACCCAGCGCCAGGTCCGCCATGGCTACTGCCCCGTTGCAACCGAGGCCCCCACAGCGGGGCTGCCCATCCTCATCCCGACAGCCGGCACCCCCACAAGGGCTCGTAGCACAGGGAGCATCCCCTGGGGCCCCGCACACCTGTCAGGCATAGAACAAATTAGGGCCCTGTGAAAGGAGCAGCCACCCCCACATGTCCCACCTTATGTTTGTGCCTCACCAGTTCATTTATGCCTGTCAGGCTCAGGCTGTGGGCACGGGCAGAGAGCTCCCCTAGTGCCTGCTGGTTGGCCATGTGCTTTTGGTTGAAGCCCTCCCTCTGGGTAGCCATCAGCCCCTCTGTCCGGTGCCGGGTGCCTGCTGAGTCGCTCACAGGGCTGGGCACTGTCAGGGCCGATGTGTTGGCACGGTGTTCTGCCTCTGCAGATAGGCTGTGGGCACGGCGGATACTGTCATAGGCACCTAAGGTGGGCAAAGGCAGTTAGTCAGTTGAAGATCAACTCCAGCCCACCTGCGGAGTTGGCCTAACACTCACCCAGGAAGTTTGAATGCTTCAGCAGGTCCAAATGCTGGTCAAGCTGCCGCAGTGTGAGATTAAGGGCAAGACTGTCTCGCTCCAGGCTGCTCAGTGCATTGTTGGCATTGAAGTTCTCATCCTGCACATCTGTCAGCTCTGTCTCCAGCTGGGTCAGATGCTCAGTGGCCTCCCCAATTTGACGCCTGCGCCAGAGAGGAGGGAGGCATTTGTAGAGGCTTCAGCCCAGGTCCACTGGGCCTCTGCTCCTTCCCACCACATATCTCAGGCCCATCCGCACCGCAGCTCCTCTGTGGCCTCCACAAGCCGCGCAGTGGCGGCAGCTGAGGCGTTGCGGGCCTGCACAATCCCCTGCACAATGCCCAGCTTCTCCTGTATGTGCCGGAAGTTGCTCTCAAAGGCACCCAGCACACCCGTCTGCTGCAGCTCCCGCGCCCTCTGCTCCAGGCGCCGCGTACGGGCAGCCAAGTCCTGCACCACTCGGTCCCAGTCCCCGAAGCATGCATGGCAGGGGTGGCAGGCAGGAAAGACACCCGAGAAGCCACGGGCACACTGGTCACAGCGCACACCAGATACACCTGGGCGGCAGCTGCAGTGGCCTGTGGAGCGATGACACTGAGGTGTGTCTATTCCACGAGGGTCACAATCACAGGCTGCAGGAAAGGGCAGACCACAGAGTTATTAGGTGCCAGTGAGGCATCCTGGGAAGTCCCACAGCCCCCCGACCCTGCTGGCTCCCTCACCACGGCACTGCAACCCAGGGTCTCCCCAGTGAAGCTCCTGGCACTCAGAACAGGTTCTCCCACCGAAGCCGGCACGGCAGTGACACTGCCCTGTGAACTAGGGTGGGAACAGGGCAGAAGTCACAGCCTCCATTAGAGGCTGAGCCCTCGAGACTTGAGGCAGATAGCTGGTCCCATTTACCCAGGGATCCACAGGAGGGTCCCATACCTCGTTGCAGGTGGGGGCTGTGGCTCGACTTGGGTGGCAGGCACAAGGTTGGCAGCCATGGCCACTGGTGAGATTCCAGAAGGTGGGGGCACAGCGGTCACAGCTAGGACCCTGGACATTGGGGAGGCATGGGCACTGCCCACTGCTTGGGTCACAGTTGCACCGGTCAGCGGATGGGCACTGCCGGGGATCTGTGCCCACTGGGTTGCAGATGCAACCTGTGCCAACCAAGACGAACACAGTAATCAAGGGGAGCCCAAGCATTAGACCCTCACCCTATTCACCCTCTCCCATCCCACACTCACGGTGACAGCTCTGTTGGGCAGCCTGCCCATGGAAGCCAGGCTTGCAGTGGGCACAGCGTGGCCCCTCTGTGTGGTGTAAGCAGCGCAGGCATTGCCCCGTGTGGGGATCACAGGCATCAGGGTCCGTGGGGTCAATGTTCCCACTGCACTCACAAGGTTGGCACCGGCCACCTGGCCTTGATGGGTCCCCAAAGTGCCCAGGGGCACAAGCTTCGCATCGCAGCCCTGCCCACAGTTAGGGGAAAGGCGTGAGTGTTCAGCCCAGCTGCCTCACCCTGATCCCACGCCTGTGCCTTACCCACTCACCCGTGTAGCCTGCCCTGCAGTGGCACATGATCTGCTGGGAGTGCCCATCCCGATGGCAGGAAGTAGCAAAGTGCCGCCGGCTCCCAGGGACTTCAGGGCAGGGGCAGGGCCGGCACTGGCCCCCATATGGCAGCCGAGGGTCCCCATAGAAGCCAGCAATGCACCTGCATGGAGGGGCAGGAAGATATGCGTCATCTCTGAGCAGGCTGCCCATCCACCAACCCACTTGGAGCTGCTCCAGGCTCACCTGTCACAGTGCTCACCCCCGGTGTGGTCTCGGCAGCTCAGGCAAG